AGGGATAGGGCCAGGGAAGGAAACCAAAAACTTGAATGAGATTGATGTGCTCACTGTACAGGAATGAATATGAAAAATCTTACACTGTTCAGGGCCACCATGGGAAGCGAACTAGGGAGGATTGAACAGGACTGGAAGAGGCCAATGAACTGGAACTGTTACACATATGCATGGGAACAACACAAGGTAACACCCTGTGTTTATTTCAAACTAGGAAGACGTCATGTTTCTTGATTTATTTTTTATGTTTTTCCTTCTACAAAATCAGAGAACAGGTTCTGTGGGTGGGGGGGATGGAGAATGAATATAGTACAAACAATGTATACACACGTATGTAAATGCAAACTGTTGAAACTGCTAACATATTCCTGTTCCAGGAATTAGGGGAGTGGGAATGGGAGAAAGAAGTTGGGGGTGGGGGATCAAATATGATATATTTGATACATTGTAAGAACCTTAGTAAATGCTACAATGTACCCACTCACAGCCCAACAATAAAAAAAATTAATTCTTTTTTGTTCATACTGGGGTTTGAGCTCAAGGCTTCATACTTGCTATTCAGGTGCTCTACTGCTTTAGTCGGACCTCCAGTCTTTTTTGCTCTGGTGATTTTTGATATAAGGTCACTTTTTGTTCAGGCTGGCCTGGCCCATTATCTTCCTGTGTAATGCCTCCCACAGTGGCTGGGATGACAGGCATATGTCACCACGCCCAGCATCTTCTGTTGAGATGGGATCTCATGAACTTTTTTTGACCTCGGGCTAACCTGGAGCCACAATCCTCCTGATTGCAGACTTCTAAGTAGTAAGGATTACAGGCTCGAGCCGCCAAATCTGTTACAATTTCTTTAACATGCCAACTATATGCTATTTACAACAGACTTACTCTAGACATAAAGACACACAGAGGCTGAAAGTGAAAGGGGTGAGAAAGGATATTCCATGCAAATGGTAACCAAAATAGAGCAGGAGTGATATTTAAATCAGAAAAAAATATTTTAAATAAAAGCCTGTCAAAAAAGATACGGAAGAATACTACATAATGATAGAAGAGTCAATTCAGCAAGAAGAAATTACCATTATAAGTCAGTCCACTCAAATACATGAAACAAACATTGACAAAAGTGAAAGGAGAAATAGACACCAACAGGAAAAATAGTATGGAATTTTAATAAAATTAACCCCATTTCCATAATGGGATGAAACATTAGCCAGAAGACCAATAAGGAAACAGGGGACTTGACCAACACTATAGACCACATAAACAGACTATATCAAACTAAAAATTTCTGCATGGCAAATTAAACCACCAGCAGCTTATAGATTGGAAGGGGGGTGGATTTGCAAATCACATACATGGTAAGGAGTTAATATCAATGAGTGGAACTGGAGAACATTATTCTGAGCGAGGTTACCCAGGCTCAGAAGACCAAAAATCTTATGTTTCCTTCATATGCAGACTTTAGATCTAGGGCAAATGCAGCAATGTGGTTGGACTTGGATCACATGACAAGGGGGGGGAGCACATACGGGAGATATGGGAATAGGTAGAAAACCCAAAACATGAAAGCATTTGATGTCCCCACTCCAGAGGAACTAATAGAAAAACCTTAAAGTGACAGAGGTCAACATGAGAAGGGGATCAGGAACCAGGGTAAAGATCAGTTAGCGATGAATCAACTTGGGTTGTAACACATTTGTACATGGAAGCAATGCTAGGAATCTCTCTGTATAGCTATCCTTAACTCTACTAGCAAAAATGCTTTGTCTTCCTTATTATACCTATGTCTTCTCTTCAACAAAATTAGAGATAAGGGCAGAACAGGTTCTGCCTGGAAGTGAGGGGGTGAGAGGGGCAGAAGCTGGGTGCAGGGGGGAGGGGGGAAAATGACACAATGTATGCACGTGTGACTAAATGAATAATAAAAAATTAAAATAAAAGAACAAAAAAAGATTTATAAAAAACGAATTCAGCAATATAATTGGACATGGGTCACACATTAAGGGGAGAATGCACATGGTAAGAATAGGGAAAGGGAAGGAAACCTAAACCTTGAATGTGGTTGATGTGCTCTTTGTAGAGGAGCAAATATGTATATCTCAAACTGGCAGAGGCCACTATTGGAAGGAGACCAGAAAGTAGTGAAGAGGTCTGTCAGAGATAAACCAATGTGGATTGTAATACATACGTGCATGGAAACAACACAAAGAATCTCCCTATATAGCTATCTTTATCTCCAACTAACACTATGCCTTTCTTATTATCTCTTATGTTTTTTCTTCAACAAAATCAGAGAACAAGAGGGCTGAACAGGTTCTGCCCAGAGCGGTGGGATGAGGGTGTTGAGAGGAGGTGGCCCAAACAGTGTATACAGATGTGGGTAAATACAAAAACAATAAAGTTTAAAAAAATAAAATAAAATATTTATAAATAACTCATATACTTTTTGTAGTGTCTTTTTTTATTATTATTGTGGTAGATGGGGGTACATTGTGGCATTTACAAAAGTTCTTACAATGTATTAGCTACATCATAATTGAATTCACCCCCCCCATAATTCTCCTTTGTCCCCTTCTCTCCCCATTCCTGTAATAGTTTTAGCAGGCATTATTTTTCTGTTTAAATACTTGTATACACAATATTTGTACTATATTCACCCTCCTAAACCCTTTCTCCACAACCTCTCCCCTCCCACTGGTACCAGTGTCCCCAGGCAGGACCTGTTATGCCCTACTGTTCTCCAATTTTATAAAAGAAAAAAAATGACATTTTCATTTGTTTAAGATAGCTACACAGGGAGCTTCCTTGTGACATTTCCATATCTATATGTACTATAACCTGAATTGGTTCATCTTCTCTATTTTTATTCTTTCTATCTTAGTCTCTTTCTTATGGTGGTTTCAACAAGTTTAAAAATTCTATATTCATTCTTATATAGAAAGTACATCAACCATATTCATCATCTAAATTTCTTTCTTTTACCCTCTCTTTCTTGTATGTGACCTTCCCTTAGACTGACCTGTTTTCACAGAATTGCTGTATTTGTATCAGGTATATATTCCACATATGAGAGAAAACATGTAGCTTTTGGCTTTCTGAACTTGGCTAACTTCACTTAAGATGATGTTCTCCAGTTCTGTTCATTTACCTGCCAGTGACAATATTTCATTCTTCTTTGTGGTTAAATAAAATTCCATTGTATATAGCTATCACATTTTCTTAATGCATTCATCAGTAGCAAGGCATCCTGGCTATTTCTATAGCTTAGTTATTGTGAATAATAAACATGGATGTGCAGGTGCCTTTAGTATAACCTGACTTACATTCCTTCAGGTATATCCATAGGATGGAATTTCTGGATCATGTGGCACTTCTCTTTTTAGCTTTTTGAGGAGCCTCCATACTGTTTTCCACAGTGGTTGTACTAATTTAGATTCCCACCAGCAGTGTATGAGGGTTTCTTTTTCCCCATATCCTTGCCAACATTTGTTGTTAAGAACTCATATACTTTGAAAGAATAAAAATAAGTAACCTAATTTAAAAAGGTACAAAAGAGGCGAATAGACATTTCTCCAAAAAGTCAGAAAAATGGCTAACAGGTTCATTAAAAGTGCTCAATATCATTAATAATCAGAGAAATGTAAATCAAAACTAACTTGAGTTATCACCTCAAAACTAGTATGTTTTACATAAATGAAGAGACAACAAGTGTTGGAAACTGGATGGAGAAATGTACACTATTAGTGGGTATATTGATTGGTACATTCATTATGGAAAATGGTACAGATATTTTCAAAGAAATTAGAAATAGAACTTCCATATAACCCAGAAATGCCTCTTTAGGGCTATACACAAAATCAGCACCTCATAAAAATATTTGCAGCATCATTCATGATAACAAAGATATGAAAAAAACCTTTAATAAACAAAGGATAAAGAAACTATGATATTATGTGTACATATACATATGCAATGGAATATTATTCAGCCCTTAAATGATCAAGATCTTGCCATTTGCCATAACACTGATACCCCCAGAAAATACTGTTCTAGGTGTAATAAGCCAGACAGAAAAAAAATATTGTATGAATTCACACAATATTTTGTAGAATCTAAAAAAAATCAAATATATGAATATGGAGAACAACGTAATTGCCATGGTTAGGAGCAGGTGAGAAAAGGGGGATATCAGAAGACAAAATAGCATATACATTGGATGAGCAGGTCTATAGATCTACTGTACTGTATGACATGGAGACTATAAGTAACAAAATTGAACTACATATGAGATTCGTGACAAGTGAGACTTTAGCTGTTGTTTCTGCAAAAACAAAACAACTGGGAGAGTATGTGAGATGATACTCTGTAAATTTGCTTCGCTATTAAAATCTTTTTATTATCTAAATGGATTCCAAAACCATCATGTGGTATACATTAAATATATACAATAAAATTTATTTCCAAAAATAAGCCTTCCACTTACCATATCCAACCTACCCTCAAATGTTTGCTTGTGTGACATTTACCACACTTATTAAACACAGATCACAGGGATACCAGTGAAAGAATCATTTCAAAATACTACTGAAGAGATGGGGCATTCTTTGGCCTCTAAATTAATGAAAAGGTGTGAAAAAATACATACTATTCATAAGGTAACATCACATGGTGGCAAACTGGTAAGATCTGACTGGTAATCTATGTGTGAGATAGGAGTTCCTGGAGGAGCACTGGGGTAGCAGGCAGCTGAACAAAAAGACCTAGAAGTGTGGAAAGTTTAACAAAGTCAGGAGCCACTACAGAAAGGCATGACTATGCAGGTCTACTGGATCTGAAAAGCTCTGTGGGTATGGGGACCACTGCAATCCCATTGACCATTCATACTGCTTTCTTAGACCCTACCAATGTCCACTGCTTTACTGTTCATTACAATTTGTTCTCTCTTATGTCCACTAATCCACACCTCTATCCACACCACAGGCTACATAACATGTTCAGCTTTACAAAGGGACACAATTCCACTGGTTCCAGTCACAGGGCATGGGGACATTACCCAGATTTTGACTCATTTTCTGTACAATTTTGTTGGCTTTGTCTGTGTGATTATATGAAGGGAAGCCAAGTTTGTCTAGAGCCTGGATCTGTACATATAAGGCATAGGAGCTGAGGCCTTGGGCCCGATACTTAGGCACAGTGCCAGCCATTCTAATTTCTCCAGTCTGGTCCATTAGGTTCCAGGACGCAGGAGTCCCCTCAGGTCCAAGAACACAGGTGCTAGGGAAGGTCCAGATGCAGCGCTTAATGAATTTCTGGCTTCTCTCATTGCCACCAAAATGCCAAAATGTATCCACCAAGGCAGCATGGGTAACATCCAGTGATGAGAGTTTAAACATCTCTTGGTTACTATTGAGAAAAAAGTTTTTTTTAAAAAAAGTACAAATTATATGCATGCTGTGAAATATTATATTTATTTTTCCCCAGACTGTATTGGGAGGCATTTAGGAACACAAGAAATGATATAATTTTAGCAGTCAGGCAGGGTACATTATTTGACTAGCTGTAGGACATTGCACAAGTAATTTAATGTCTCTCTGTCTCCATTTCTTCTTTTATTAAATGGGGATATCAATAGCACTCCTGTGGAAAGAGAAATGAATGCTACAAGAACTATTATGTTATAAGTATTTAGAACAGTGCACAAAAATTCCACCAAAATTAAGCATTGTCCTTTTTAACACTGACACGCCACATAAGATGAGACAGATGATATCATCCCCATTTAATAGATAAGAAAAACTGGAAAACAGAAAATAAGTAAGTGCCCCAAAGCACATGCTAGCAAGCAGTAAAGTCAGATTTTAGAATCATGGACTCTTGAATGTCATATTCGAGGGTCCCTGGCAGCCATGTCAAACACATGGGGAAGCTCAATTATAGAAAGAGTCAACAATATGGAGTGTAGATAGCTCCTGCTATGGGATACAGAAGTATGACTTCTCATGCAAGGGTGTAAAAGAGCTCCAAGAGGAATCCTAGAAAGAACCTAGGATGTGGATTAGAAGATCAAAACATGAGCTGCAGTTAGACAGTTCACCATCCACCAGGTGAGACAGCCACTCCATCATCAGAGGCTGCTTTCTCTCAGGAAACAGAAAAAGTGTCTCCCACCCTATCTCACAAGGTGGACAAAACTATCCAATAATATTCTCAGTGAGAAAGTGCTCTACTGGTTGTAATGTACTTTATAATGTAAATAAAACTCTTCCAGGAATATTAACACAGAGAAGGCCATGGAATTGAGCATCTTCAGATCAAATTCTAATAAAAGTTTCCATGTCTACTCAGGAAACACTAAAAATCCATGGAAGAAAATATATATTTTCTTAAAAGATCTTTATTGGAAACCTTTTTGCCTATGAGGTTGACTCATTAAATGAATGTTTATTAAGAGAGTACTGTGTGCCAGCCTCTCTTCTGGCTACTGAAGATCTATCAGTGGACATACAGAGAAGGATCTCTGCTCTTAAAAGATTTTAAATGTTCTGAAGAGGCTTCAAACAACAAACAGGGTAGATGTATACATAAGTAAACTGTTTTCAGCTAATGGTAAGTGCAATAAAAGAACATTAAAATTAGGTTTTATAATGAAAAATTATGTGGTTGGTTTTACTCAACGTGCTCCAAAAACAACTGTCAAAATTAATAGATTTGAGAGTATTAATAGCAATAACAAAAATGGGGAAAATATGTGAAGATCAGAGGGAAGGACATTTTATTTAGGCAAAGAGTAAATGTGGTCACTGAAAAGAATGTGTGAATGTATGACAATCAAGTAGCAGAAAGAAGTCCAGATCTACTGGTAGGAGTGAGCAAGGGGACAAGATGAAATATAAGAGGTGATAGGTGCGGGTCTTATGGGGACCATAAAAGAATTTGGATTTCATTCAAGGAGAACTGAGAAATATTGGTGTCTTTTAAATAGATGAATGACATAACCCACATTACATATTTAAAAAGTTGCCCTGGAAATGCACTGAGTAGGGAGGCAAGAGTGAACATTGGGAGAGAAGTTAGGGAGCCACTTAAGTGAAAGAGGTGAATAGTACAGAGCATCTTTAATCAAACTCACATTGCCTTGGGTCTGTATGATTTAGGACATAAATTCTCAATGTCACCAGGAATGGCACAAGTTTCTTTGCTGTCTGGGGCATCATATAGAGAATGCATTGTGTTTTCTTGACCTTGACCAATTTAGCAGCTGCAAGACTTTGTATCACTTCATCCATGCTAGACTGTGAACCTAAAAGGGAGTAAAGTAGGGAAAGAAGTAACTGCCTATTTAGCAAGTACAAGATGTGATTCAATCCAGTATGCTGGATTTAGAGTCCAATAATCTTTTTTCTTTTTGTTTTTCTTTTGTAGTACTGGGGTTTGAACTCAGGGTCATGCTTGCTAGGCAGATAATTTATCACTTGAGTCACTTCACCAGCCCTAGAGTCAAACACTCTTGTCTGTGACTATGGCCAAGTCACTCCCCAAGAATGTTTTCTCTTATGTAAAACAGGACACTAGAAATTCTGACTGTATTACTGTAAAGCCAAAAAAGTAGTTTTAAATAATAATTAGCCTTAAATGTTATACACCTAGGTACTGGTCTGATAGGTCATTTAATCCTTACAATGGACCTATGTTTTATGTCTGTTTATTATAGTTATTTTTATTTATGAGGGGACTGATTAATAGATTTAAGTTACTTGCTCAAGATCACAAAGCAAGAAGGCTGAGCAAGAATGCCAGACTTTGTAGTCTAACTCCAGAGGGCACGCTCATAACCACAGCAGTTGTCATCCTCGGTGACCTGGGAGGTGGTCTATAGCAAAATGATGTCATTCATATTCTAGAAATGGAAGGTCAGAGGGAACGGTTTGATCTCACACTCAATTATCCCGAGGGATACTGAATGTCTGCAAAATATACCATGGATCCTCAGCTAACAAGAAACCACCTTGCTCACAGTTCTGTGTATCAACCGCACTGTCTTCAATATTTGAAATCTACTCTATGGATGAGGTGGTGGCAATCAGAACAAGAAATGAACATTAGGTTGACATTCTGAGGAAGTTAAGATGGTAAGGTAAGGTGCCTGGGATGGAAATGACCTTAGAGATATAGACACAGGTGGTCCCAGCAGCCAGACACATCCCAGTACACTTACTTTGGATCTGCAAATGTTGTTTCCAGTTGATGACATCTGATGTGTCAAGGACTTCTTGGCAGTTCTTGAGATCCTTAGAATAGATTTGGTAGGAGTTGGTATAGTGATCAAGGTCATCTGTCATTTCCTGTTTGGTTGAGAAACATGGAATAAATCAAATTGCTTTACCAAGTAATTTAAATATTTTTGCATTTCATTTTATTGTTATTATAAAAACTTAAATATGGATAGTCTTCACATATTATCACTGCTTCTGGATCATTTACATCATAAAACCAAGTCAAGGAATCTCTTCAGTTTATATCAATAAATTTTGCTGAACCAAATGTTTATATGTTGCATTAAACTTAAAATCAGTCAAAAGCATTTTAAATCATTCTTCCATAATTTTGTAATCCTCAGGAGAAAGAAGAAAAGTGATGCTGTCAAAGGAAAACTTCTGTTCCAAGAATAAATTTTATGCTACTTCAGTGCCTCAGAACAAATGTATTTTTAGCATAATAATATTGAAATTGACACAAACAACATTGCATTGGAATTTTTATGTATACCTAATAAAGCTATCCAAAATGAAGAACACAAAGCATTGATATTTCAAAAACAAAGTTTGTACTCTTAGCAAAATAAAAATGCAAAGTTTGTACCAAAAGACCTTTTCAAAGTTAATAAATAAGGGTTGGATTATTTGAAGATAAAAGAAGGACCAGGGGTCAAGTACCCAGCTAGGGTAGAATAGCTATAAATTTTTGCCTAGAAATTCCCTTACAATTCAACAGTAATACCAGTGAAAGTAAGTGTTTTAAGCATACTATTTCAAATGTAAATATTATTTCAATTTTAGATTTTAATAATTAACTTCATTTTTGTATTCTATGTTGTTTGGTGGTTTTTAAACAAATACATTTTATTATATATATTTAATTATACATACATTTTGTTATATGTAATTATAGTGTACATATTGTTATGGGATACATATAGATGGAAAAAATATTTACTAGACTGAAGCAAATTAACAGATCCATCATCCTGCCCAATTACCATTCTTTCTTTGTTTTGTGGGAATAGTAGCTAGAACTTACTAGTTTGACAAAAAACGCAGTAAAACTTCATGTTACATAATATCTCTTTGGACTTGTTCATCTTACATACCTGCTACTTTGATTTGTTTGACCTATATATCCCTGCCCCCTCACATTCAGTACTGTTTTAATCATTTTATTCTCTATGGCTATATAGCTAGACTTTTAAAAGATTCACATATAAGTGAGATAATAAATTTTTTTCTTTCTGCTATTGCCTTATTTTACTTAGCATAATATCCTCCAGATTCCTCTGTGTTATGGGAAATGGTAAAATCTCCTTTCTTCAGGCTGAATTAAACTTCATTGTATATAAATCAGCATATATATACACATACATATATACAATATACTGGTATGTACGCTAATACATATACACATATACATATATCTGAGATAGATAGATGATAGATAGGTAGATAGATAGACAGATAGATAGATCAATCAGTTTATCCATTTATCTGCCTGTGAGTTTTTGGGTTGTTTCCATATCTTAGTTATTGCAATAAATACTGATATGCAGATACCTTCACATGGTGGTGATTTTGTTTCCTTTGATATATGCCCAGAAAAAGGTATTGTTGTGTCAAATGGTAGTTTTATTTTTATGATAAATTTTTCTTCTATTCCTAAACTGTTGAGATTGTTTATCATGAAAGGATGTTGAACTTTGTCAAATGTTTTTTTCTAGTCAATTGAAATGGTCATGTGGTATTTATCTTTCCTTCTGTTATGACATATCACAGTGATTGATCTGCATGTGGTAAACCAGCCTTACATACTATGGATAAATCTTACTTGATTACAATATACAATTTTTTTATGTTTACCACTGAATTTAGTTTGCTAATATTTTATTGAGGATTTTTTACAACTGTTTATCAGAGAAAATGGACTATAGTTTTTGTGTGTTTTTTCTGGCTTACGTAACAAGGTAATGGTAGCTTCATAAAATGTATTTGGAAGCATTCTTTCTACCTCTACATTTTGGAAGTATTGAAGAATTACTAGTATTAATTCTACTTGGACTATTTGATACAATTCGTCTGTGAAGCTATCTGGTCCTAAGTTTCTGTTCATGAGAGGTTTTTGGTTATTTGTTTAATCTCTTTACTTGTTACTGGTCTTTAATGCTATTTTATTCCTTCTTGGTTCAATTTTTGTAAGTTGTATATTTCTAAGCATTTGTCTATTTCCTCAATATTATCCAATTTTAAGCATATAATTATTTATGATAGTTCCTAATGACCCATTTTATTTCTGACATGGCTGTTGTAATGTTTTCACTTTCATATTTGGGGTTATTTGAGTCTTCTTTTTTTATTCATTTATTCATATGTGCATATATTGTTTGGGCCATTTCTCCCCCCTATCCCTAACTCCCTCCTTCCCCCCCACCACTTCCAGGCAGAATCTGTTCTGCCCTCTTCTCCAATTTTGTTGAAGAGAAGACATAAGCAATAATAAGAAAGACAGCATTTCTGCTAGTCTAAGGATAGCTATTCGGAGAGATTCCTAGCATTGCTTCCATGCATGTGTATTACAATTGGTTCATCTCTACCAAACCTCTTCAGTACTTCCTGGTCACCTTCCCATACTGACCTCTGTCAGTTTAAGATTACTTTATTAGCTCCTCTAGAGTGGGCACATCAAACACTTTCAAATTTTGAGTTTCCTACCTTTCCCACCTCCTCCTGTATGCATTCTCCCCTTAGCACGTGACCCATGTCTAATAATATTACTGTGTTTGTTTAAGGTCTGAAATTCGCACATGAGGGAGAACATACGATTTTTGGCTTGAGCCTGCTAACTTCGCTTGAGTCTTCTTTTTTTATACTAGTAAAGAATTGCCAATTTTCTCTGTATTTTCAAAAATCCAAGTCTTAGTTTTTTATTCATGCTATAGATTTTTTATTCTCGTTTCTTTTCTGATTTGTTAAATTTCTTTTCTTTTTGCCAGTTGACCTATTAATTCTTAAAAGTGGGGTATTGGTGTCCCTTATTAATGCTGAATTGACATCAATTTCTCTCTTGTGTTCACTAATACTTGTTTATATATTCAGGCACTCCAATACTAGGTACATATATATTCACAATTGAAATATTGAAGGATTGACCTCTTCACTATTAAATACTGACCTTTTTATCTCTTGTGACAACTTCTAACTTGAAGGCTAATTTTACTATGTCCACTCTTGTTTTTTGGTTATGGTTTGCATGGAATACATTCTTCCATCTGTTCACTTTCAGTCTATGTGTGATCTAAAAGTGAATGTGGTTCTTTGTAGGCAGCATACAGTTGGATTTTGTTTTCTTATCCATTCATTCAGTCTACTACTGGTGGTACAGTTTGCTTCTTTCTTGTTGTTGTTCTTTTGTTTGTTGTGTGGTTATGATGAGTCTTACATAAGGCATCTTATGTAAGTCTCTTATAAGAGACTATTTTAGCTGATAACAAGTTGACTTCTATGACAGAAACTCTTTACTTATGCCAAAAAATTTAAATATTTATTTTACAATCAATACCTTTTTATATTATATATTCCTTAACAACTTATGTCAGCTTTAATTATTTTCAGTTTGACCTTTAAACCTTCATACTATAGTTCTGTAGGATTTACACACTACCATTACAGTCCTGGAGTATTCAGGATTTCACTCCGAATTTATATATCTAATGATAACTTTTATACTTTCAAATGTATTCATGATAGTAGCTATTGTCTACTCATTTCTACTTCAAAATCATTATTTACATTTTATTTGTCAGTAATTATACAACAATGATATTTTTTGTTAATATTCATACTTTGTACGCATGGATTTTACCTTATGTTTATCAATGTATTTAAAACATAATTTTATTATAAGTGTTTTAATTGTTTTGTTTGAGTGATTTTTAAAGTCTGGTACTGAAAATATGCTCTCAAGTATAGATTTTCAACCTGTTTTTTTTTCTGTTTCCATAAAATCTTTCATATTTATCTTCATTTTTTGTAGGTGCTATTTTCTCTACTTAGAACACATCTTTCTGCTCTTTTCAGCCTCCTAAACATCAAAATCTAGTTTGAATGAAATTTCTACCTGGAAAGTTCTCTGATCTTCCCTACATTTTCTATAGGGAAAATTTTAGTTCTCTCTTATCCAGTGCCACTTTTCAATCTCAAAGTATAATCCTTAAACAGAAATATAAATATGCTTGCATGGTCTTGCACATTTTCATATCAAGCTGAAATCCATGTGGTTATCTGTGTTTCCTCAAGGACAGGGACATATTGGCATCACTAGGATTCATTTTTTTCTTCCCTGGAGCCTATCATATTTCCAGAATTGTGTTACACATGCAGAAAATATGAATGCAGAGTAGTATTCATTCCACACCAGACAACTTACCTGCTCTTGGGGACGGACAACCACTGTATTAAAATCAGGCCACTTGTCCACCAGGGCCTTTAGCTTGAATGGATTTCCCTGGTTCATGTGGAAGACAGTCCCATAAACCTACAACATTCCAACAAATGAGAGGGTCAGCACATTGCAAAGGAACAGTAAAGTGCTTTGGTTTTTTTTGTTGTTGTTGTTAACCAAAACAAGGCTTATATCTATGAAAATCTAGTGTGTAACTGATAGGTCATCCAATTCAATCTTCAGGTTATATTTTATTTATTCCAAAGGCAAATATATTTTTGGATGAAACCATTACAAAATGCAGATAAATAACAATCAGCCACTCTTTCATTGTGGAATTTAGTCTTATGCCTTTCCATTTTCTTCCACATAACTACATATACACACAATTTAATAAACAATAAAATTATCTAATAAACATTACTTAAAATATACTTTCCCAAATCCATATTCCCATGTCAATAAACAAAAACCTAGTCATGTTTCACTACTGAATAATATTTATATGTGAAAGAAGGTTTATTTAGTGTGCTTACTTCCTAATGTATGTCATTTCAATTTCTCTAATATTTTAGTTTAATTCTTCAAAAAACATTTTGCTTAAATTTTGGAAAAATGTCTATTTCAATTTTAGCAGGAAATTTCTGCTAAAATTACTTTTCTATAATTCAAGTGAGTTCTTGCCTATCTAAGTAAGTACAAAGAACATAGTGTTAAAATCATGGGCTTCAGTGACCTAAGTCCAGTAACATCACACATTAGAAGCATCTCTTCAAACATCAGTGCACCTCGGGAAGCTAAGCTAGAGATCCTCCTAACTGGAATAAGTCTTGTGGTTATGGGAAGAAGAAGCACTTCAGTGCCCAGCAGAATGGTCCTCAGGATCAAAGTGCAGTTGGGAACATGATGCCTTATACTATGGGTGAAAAGACACCCAAGATCAAAAACCAATGAAATAAAAAACATTTCAATAACCAAGGGCCAGAACTAATCCTGAAACTCTTTACCTTTCCCTTGAAATGTTTGTATGAAAGACTAAGGAAAATAGAGAACAAAACAAACTTTGACTTTACTAGTTTATATGAAAAAGATTAAATGTAGAAGCTCAATGTAAACCTAATGCATTTGGGAGGAATAATAGGTTAATTAAAAAAAAAACACCACCACTTGAATTTGGGACCAGTGATGTTCATATAAACCACAAATAGAAAATTATAAATGAGTCACTGCTTCTGCATATGGTAGCCACTACAAATTGAATGAAGAAGCTAACACAATAAATAAACCTTTCAGACCCTATGCGTACACAGACCTTCCTCTTACCTGAAACTTTAATGAGTGTTGAAGAAATGTCTACCAAAAATATTGAGTTTGGGGGTTTTACTTATTTATATGTAATAGAACCAGAATTTTTTAGCTTCTGCAATGTTGTCCAGCAAAGAGTGAATTTGTGGTCAAAGAAGTTTCTCTGACCCTGCTCACTAGATGGCCCTTAGTCAGAAGCATCAGCTATGGATTAGTCCATTAAACAATCTGTATACAAGATATCAGAGCACCAGAAATGTAAACAAAAGAAGACAACAAATATTATTTAACATTATCATGTTCATCACAAAAACTGCACTAAACACATTAATCCTCATTTTTACCCCAGGAGTCTATATATGAGTCATTAACAAAAGAAAACATAAGTTACACTGAAAGTTGGGAGGTATTTCTTTGGGAGGTTTTGTAAGTGGTACTGATTTTAATTTTGAATTCTAATTGTTCCTACTAATATATATATACATATATATATAATTATTATTTCTGTTATTTTGCATATTAACCTCAAATCCTGTCATCTGCTAAACTTTCTAATATCTTTAGATTTTTCTACATTAGACAATAATGACTCAGTGATAAGACTCTTTTGCTTGCTTCTTTCCAGTATGTATTCCTTTTTTCTATTCTGCTTTTTTTATATTTGCTAGGACAATCGTGTCACACTGAATAGGAATATGAGATAGACATCTGCCTTATCAATCTTAGTGGAAGTACTCAGTCTTTCACTACTTAGTATGATAAATTTGCATGTTTTCTACATGCTTTTAATCAGGTGATGAATTCCCTTGTGTTCTAGCTTTCTGAGAGTTTTGTATTATTGGGAATCTTAACTTTTTGCCCAACCTTTTTCTATACTTATTTAAAAAGATCATATGGTTTTTCTCTTTGGGTCTGTTGATATGTGATTACATTGGAAATTTGAATGTGACTCTTCCTTGAATTCTCAAGATAAATACCTTTTGGTCATGATGTATTGTTTTTTTATATATTGCTACATTGACTGATAGTATTTTAAGGATATTTGCAGTCTTTGTTAATAAGTATATATGTCTACATAGATAGCTGATAGGTAAATAGATAAGATAGATAGAAGGATAGATATGGTTCTGTAACTTCTTATTTTCTTCTTTTGCAGTACTGGGGTCTGAACTCAAGCCTTCAGCTTGCTAGTCAAGGCTCTACCACTGAGCACACCCTCCAAGCCATTTTTCTTTGTTCACTTTTTCAGGGAGGTCTCACATTTTGTACAGCTGGCCCTTAGACCATGATCCCCTACCTCTGCCTCCAGCATAGCTGGAATTGCAGGCATTACCAGCTTGTTTTTTGAATAAGTCTGCAAACTTTTGCCCAGCTGGCCTTGAAATTCAATTGTCCCATTGCCTCCACATAACTGGGACTGCAGGCGTATTTTGCCATAACTTGGTTTCTCTCTCTCTCTCTCTCTCTCTCTCTCTATATATATATATATTATATATATATACATATATACACACACATATATATATTTCTTGCTTGCTCTCTCTCTCCTTCTTTCTCTTTTTCTCTCTTTCTTCTCTTCCTTCCTTCTTTCTTTCCCTCTCTCTTTCTTTTTCTTCTTTCTCTTTCCTTCATTTCTTCCTTCCTTCTTTCTTTCTTCTTTCTCTTCTCTTTCTTCTTTCTTCCTTTCTCCTCCTCCTTCTTTCTTTCTCTCTTTGTCTTTCCTTCTTTTTTCTCTCTCTCCTTTCTCTCTCTTTTTCATTTGTGGAGCCCAGGTTCGCCCTCAAACTT